TATGATGGCCATCAACTGACTGTTCGGTCTGTTAAGACCTACTGTACTGTTTTGCTATTGGATGTACCACATATGACTATTATAATTTCTGAATGACAGTTATGGTATGAAATATGAGCCACAAACTGAATGACTAATATACTGATAAATGACTGTTTTCAATACTGAAAGGACATTCATTCTTAACCTCTTTACGCATATGTTATTTACTGGGCTTTAGCTTACTGTTTATATATATATATATATATATATATGTAGGTGTTCAGGCACCGGACCAGAGTCAGGAGCGTCGGATTAGCTCTTGTTTTGTCAAGCCAACCATCGTGCCTCACCTTGAGGTTCCAAGTGCTGCCAAGCTAAGGCTGCTTCAGGGTGTTTTAGATTCTCCCTTTTCTGTCTCTGTTTTGTATCGACTGTATAGACTGAATGATATTTGTACTATACTGTTATGGTAGGGACTTGGTCCCTAACCTGAATGATCGTATATGATGTTTGTATATACTGTTTTGTCCTGAATGTGAATATGTTTTAAAATGTCTTTTTGCATACAAACTGTCACAGCTCATTGGACATCTTTTAATTACTGTTTTGGCTTCTGCCAACCCCTGTACTCTGTATTACTGTTTTACTATTAAGCAGGCCTTCGGTAATCTCGGATTACTGGCCGGTTACGGTGCTAAACCCATAGGGGCGGGTTTGGGTCGCGACAATCTCAAGGTAGATCATCTTTTAGAGGAGGACGAGGAGGCAGATATTACAGAGGAGGCAATGGCAATGGAAAATTCTCTAGCCATTACACTCGAGGAAGAGGAAAATATTCACAGAATTCTCACAACTCTCAAGCTTGTCAAATTTGTGGTGGTTTTGGCATTTAGCTCTTGATTGTTGGCACCGAATGGACTCTCAATATCAGTCCTTGCCTCCTAATGCCAATGCCAATGTTTCTTCATCATTAGCTCCTAGGGCCTTTGTTGCTTCTCCATCTGAATATGTCTCATCATCGTCATCAGTCCCATGGTACCTAGACTCTGCTACTACTGATCACATCACCAATGACCTCAATAATCTTACCTATTATCAACCATATCAAGGTACCGACCAGGTCACTATTGGAAATGGCACCACTGGCCCTATTAATCACACTGGTAAAGGACTTTTACCCACTCCACATCATTCATTTTAACTTAACAATATTCTTCATTCATCATCTATTTCTTCCAATCTTGTCTTTGTTCAAAAGTTAGCTTAAGATAATCATTGCATCATAACATTTGATGATTCTAACTTTGTGATTCAGGACAAACTTACAAAGAAAGTTCTTCACAAGGGATGTAACATCAATGAACTTTATCATTTCCTGCCATCACCTGTTTCTTCATCTGCTGCTTCTCCATTTTGTTCTCAAGCTTTTGTTACTTGTACTGATAGATCTACTTCTGTTACACCTACTATTTGGCATAATAGACTAGGCCATCCTTCCTCTGTAAAACTTCATCATCTCAAACATCATTTTCATCTTAAATCTGTACCTCATGCTACTCAAGATTGTGTAGATTGTTGTGTTGCTAAAAGTCATAGACTTCTTTTTCATTTTGACAAATTCAAGTGTAAATAAGCCTCTTTCACTTATTCATAGTGATGTTTGGGGCCCTTTCCATTCTTCTTCTACTTACAGATACTATGTGATTTTTGTGGATGAATTTAGTAAGTTTACTTGGTTGTATCCTCTAGTCTATAAAAGTGAGGTCTATGACAAATTCCTGGAATTCAAAGCTTATGTTGAGAAACAATTTGATACTGTTTTAAAGATACTTCGCACTGATGGAAGAACTGAGTTTTGTAATAATAAAATGGAGTTTATTGTTGCTAATGGCATTATTCACTAACATTCTTGCCCATACACTCCACCACAAAATGGCATTATTGAAAGAAAACACAGGCATATCACAGAGACAGCAGTTGCATTGATTCATCATTCTTCCATGCTTCTTGAATTCTGGTTTGAAACAGTTGCTGCTGCAACTTACTTGATTAATAGACGTCCTTCTACTCAGCTGCAGTATCAATCTCCTTTTGAAGTCTTATTTCATCACCCTCCGGACTACTCTTTTCTCAGGGTCTTTGGTTGTCTTTGTTATCCTTGGCTTTAGTCTTATTCCTCTACTAAACTCCATCCTAAGTCTCTACCTTGTGTCTTTCTTGGTTATCATCCTTTTGCTAAGGGGTACAGGTGTCTTGATCCCATTTCTAGCAGGATTTATCTTTCTAGACATGTCATTTGCAATGAATCTACATTTCTTTTAACCAAAAATGACCTCTATCTCTTCTTCTCTTTCTTTACCTCAAATTTAATCTTTCTTTTGGTCCACTATACCTACTCCATCTTCTTCTCCATCTGTTTCTTCTTTACATGGCCAGTCTAATTCTCCTCAGTATTCTCATTCTTCTTCTTCTCCCACAACTATTCCTCCTCCTTCTATTTCTTCCATTATTACTGTTTCTTTTCGTCAGCAGCAGACTGTTGTTCAGCCCAATTGTGTTCTTTCTTCTTCTTCTATTCCTATTAACTCTATCTCAGTCCACTTACCATTGCTCCCACCTGCAACTACAAATGTTCATCCCATGATCACTAGGTCTAAACTCTCCTTTCAATGTTTAATTCGCACCAAGCCTTCTCCTGTTTTGTACTCAGATTCTGGATCTCCATCCCATAAGAAAGCTCTTATTTCTCCTATTTGGCATAAGGCTATGCAAGAAGAATTTGATTCTTTGCAAAAGCAACAAACTTGGTCTCTAGTTTGTCTTCCCCCAGGAAAAAAATTTATAGGTTGTAAGTGGATTTTCAAAGTTAAAAGAATTATGATGGCACCATATCTAGACACAAAGCTCGACTAGTGGCCAAGGGTATCTTCAGCAAGAAAGTGTGGACTTTTAAGAGACTTTTAGTCCTGTAGTCAAGCTTCCAACAATCAGAATTTTACTTTGCCTAGCTCTCCATCATCAGTGGCCCTTGAAGCAATTGGATATATCCAATGCCTTCCTTCATGGAGTTCTTGAAGAGGAAATGTTTATGTATCAACCACCAGGATTTGTTCATCCAGATCAGCCTAATCATGTCTGTCATCTCAAGAAAGCCATATATGGCTTGAAACAGGCACCTAGGGCTTGGTATTCTACATTTTCAGCCTATCTTTTCTCTCAAGGTTTCCATAATAGCGAATGTGACTCTTATTTGCTCATCCAGAAATCTAGCACTACTTTCATTGCTCTTTTGGTCTATGTGGATGACATTTTAGTCACAACGAATGATGCTTCTCACATTCAATCACTTATCTCTCATATGCACACTACCTTTTCTATGAAAGAAATTGGTGATTTTTCATATTTTTTGGGTATTTCCATCACACTAACTTCCACTGGCTATGTTTTGCCTCAACAGAAGTATGCTCAGGATATTCTTCATAAGGCAGGTTTAGCTGATTGTAAACCTTGTCCATCTCTGTGGGGGTCGAATAACTATATACTAAGGAAAGCCTAATTTATTTGAAGGAAAATCAGGACAAAGACGATTTAGCTCTGTCCAAAGGGGACCTGAAGCCAAATATTTAAATCGGCCATGTAATCGGCCATACAAGGAGCCAAATAGGAATTGGCATACGACTGAAAGGCCGAATAAGCAATCATGCGCTGGATTAAGAGTGGGCCCGACCCCTGGGATCAGGTACTGGTATAAATAGAGGAACATCAACCAAAGAAAGGTATGTGAGAATAGATTAAATAACTTGAGATAGAAGCAAACTTGAGAGCAAATACTAATTTCGACACCCCCTACCGAAGTGTTCATCCTTTTTCAGGTGGCAATAAGAGGATCAAGAACGTCTTACTTGATCTTGGAGTATTTCCAAACCACTTCTCCACAATCTCCTATATCAGTTAAACCTTCCCTTGCCCTTGATTCAGCAGCATTGTGTCCTGATCCCGCTCTCTATCGAAGCCTCATTAGTGCTCTTCAATATCTCACCATCACTCGCCCAGATATTTCTTTGCCAATCAATCACTCTTGCCAACATATGCATTCTCCCACAGTTGATCATTTTGCTGAAGTTAAAAGACTACTACATTTTGTTAAGGGTACCATTGGGCATGGTTTGACCTATTCTCCAAGTTCTTTTGATATTCATGCCTATTCAGATTCTAACTGGGCTGGAGTTGTTTTAGACAGAAAATCTACCCCAGGTTATTGTATATTTTTGGGCTCTAACCTTGTGTCTTGGTCAACCAAAAAGCAAGCCACAGTCTCTCGCTCTTCCACTGAAGAAGATTACAGATCTCTTGCTTATACTGCTACAGAATTGGCTTGGATTGGCATGCTCCTTATGGCTTATCTATTTCCTCCCATGTGCCTCATACTCTCTGGTGTGACAATGTCTCTGTTATTGCTTTGGCATCCAGTCCAGTATTTCATTCTAGGTCTAAACACATTGAAGTGGACTGCCACTTCATTCGAGATCAAGTTCTTGCTAAAAGGCTGGTTCTTAAGTATAATCCAACTATAGACCAGTTGGCTGACATCTTCACTAAACCTCTCTCTGTCTCCAAATTTTTGTATCTCAAAGACAAGCTTATGGAGTTCACTTACCCCATTAGCTTGAAAGGGAATGTTGAGGATATCCCATCAAAGCCCAAGCATAGCTCACAGCTCAGCTCATGTTCTAGTTCAGTGATGAAACCGAGCTACAGCTCAGTCTATGTGACTGCATCAGTTTAAATAGATATCAGTTAGATAGTTTGTTAGTTTGTTAAACAGTTACAAGTAATTAGCACATGTGGTTTAGATACATATCTCTTGTATAGGTATAGGTATAGCTATATATATAAAGATAGCTTGTACATTCCTAGTATGAAATAAGAGATTCATCTTTTCATCACCGACGGCGTGCGCTTTAGCTTTCTTGTGCCATTTCTTCATACACCCACCTCTCTCTGAACAACCACCATTGATGAACTTTAGCCACCCTTTCCATTTTCATCCCAAGTTCTCCCACCCAATACACAAGCCGTTTTCACCGCCCGTTCCTGTTTATGTGAAACCGCTTCCACCTCCAGTCCCGATATACAAAGAGCCACTTCCTCCACATGTGCCATTTTTTGAACCAAAACCGCCACTATTCGAGCCTCATGTGCCAATTTATAAACCACCAGTGGTCAAGCCTCCTCCAATATATGTAAAGTCACTTCCTCCGCCTGTGCCAATTTACAATCGAAAACCACCAGTGTTCGAGCATCCTCCTATATTTGGAAAGCCATTTCCTCATCATGTGCCAATTTACAAACCAAAACCACCAATGTTCGACCATCCTCCGATATATGAAAAGTCACTTTTTATGCATGTGCCAATTTACAAGTCAAAACCACCAGTGTTCGAGCATCCTTCTATATATGAAAAGCCACTTCCTCCACCTGTGCCCACTTACAATCCAAAACCACCAATGTTTGTGTTCAAGCATCCTCTGATATTCACAAAGCCACTTCCTTCGCCTGTCCCAATCTACAAGCCAAAACCACCACTGGTTAAGCCTCCTTCCATTTCGAAGGTCTTCCCACCAATCTTCAAACATCTCCAACCATTCCCAAAGATCCACAAGATACCTTGTCCACTGTTTCCTAAGCTACCTCCCATCCCCAAGGTTCCACCAATGCACTTTCCCCATCCCATGTTTGGAGCCATGCCTTCCTTACCTCCTCATTTTCCTCATCCTTAGACTACCATCTTGGGTTTAAGTTATTGGGTAATTGCTCTTTCATATATTGAAGGGCTTGGCTTGAATTTTTAGTATTGTAATAAAGTCTACAAGGTAGAGAGAGAGAGATGGGAATTTGAAAAGAAAGTGCGACAGACATGGTGAGAAAAAAAAAAAACGAGTAAGTAGATCATTGTTAAGGTGAATGTTAGTGGATGTTCTTCTTGTAGCAAGTAAAAATGTTCAAATGGATCTGCTTACCACAACATATAATGTTTACATTTCTGTCAATTTTTTTCTATTGAAACTATGAAATCTTTTTATTATGATTGATTTGTCTTTGAGTTTTTAAATGTATGATGTTCACTGTTTCTTTAAGAAAATCAATTTTCCCTTTAAAATTCAGATTTTTTGGGGGAATTCCAAAGTCAGAAAGGAGCAAAGAAAAGAAAAGAAAACGGGTGCCTCTATTTACGCACCACCTTTCATCTCAAGGCACACCATTAATTAGCTTATTTTTTATTACAATATTAACCTGATGTAAATTGACCACAAAGGATAAAGGGTTATCATATACACTTTACGTAAAATTATCATAAAAGACAATAATGAATACAATACACACCTCTCTTCTCAAACATTACTTATGTATCTTCTCTCTCAAGAACCCAAAAACCCTGAAACAAAAACCAAAAACCCTTAAAGAAACAACAACAACAACAAACAAAAAAAAAAAACGTATTATTGAAGATTTTGATTGGACTGAATGATGGATACATCTGACAATATTGGTTTGGAACAATGGAGCAAGGAAAATGTTAGTTTTTCACTTTTCATTTTTTTTTTTCCGTTTTCGTGTGCTTGATAAGTGGTAAACCGTTTGTATTCGTTCAGATACCCAAATTCGAACAATGTACTGATGTTCGACTATCTACAACCAAACAAGTTCTAATTGGGGTCGAACATAGTCCACCTGTTCGGTTAATAAGTTTCGAACTTATCACATTTGTTCGGTTTTCAACAGTCGAACTTTTGAATTTAGATCGACTCTGTATTTCTGAACACTTATGCTATTATTTATATTCCCAGATCTCGAGCTTATCGTCCTGGGTGGGGTGAGTCCAAAGGGCGCTGCCTAGGATGAGTTTTCGGATATCAAAAAAGAAAAAAAAAAACAAGAACAAAAACAAATAGCGAGGAATTCAGCTATTATTTATATTCCCACACCACGTCCTGTGCTTTAGAGACAGCAACAGAAGGACTACAGAGTGGTCGTGGAGGATATGTTTGCATCATGTATGTATTTGTGGAGGTGACAAAAATGAAATGAATTCATTTATTGGGACATATCAGATGAACAACAAAAGCATTTTTGTTTTTTGGTAAAATGATGAAAGAACAAAACAGAACAACAATATCACTAAACAACAAGAAAACAATAATGCCACACAATAGCAAAATGCAACATTAGAAACACTGCTATTGTGGTGGAGTGTGGATCCCATCCAGGATAAATGCAATGTCGCCAATACTGTACGTTGTGGACTTCTTCTTTTTTTCTTTTTCTTTTTTTCCTATAAAAATTATGTGGTTGTATTGTTTTCCACTAGGAAAAGTATGTAAAAATTGTCTGAAGACTGATGTTGCACAATTAGGGCCTTTCATTTTGAAAACAAATTACCAGCAAGCATTTAATTACAAAATATCATTGTTACATTATTTGGTGAAGGGGATTTTTGATACTCTCCATTCCATATATACAATGGAAGATTCCTGTTACATATCCAATGGCTCAAAAATAAGAATGTAATTTTATTATTAGTTTAAATTAAAATAGATCATTATATTTCTCGTTGGATGATATAATAAAATCTCTTCATTACAAATATAGAATGGTGAGGATCACAATCCTAGTAGAGGATTCTAAATTTCAAAAATAAAAAACTATAAGAATAGTGTCATATGTTTGCATATAAAAAATTTCTTTATCTCATTGTCATGCTTTCTCTTTATTGGGTCAGGAAATTATCAGTTGTCATTGGAGGCATAATCAGCCATCAGCAGTGTCCATGCACTCTTCACCAATTTCTGCCTAATTTTGATTCTCTCAACTGCTTATTTCTTCTTTGAAGTTATTATTCTTTATACTTCCTTTTTTTCCCCTTTGCAATTCATGTAATTAAGAACCATAAAATGTCATGTAAGTGATGTATATAGAGTACTGGTCAGACATTTACATTTCAAATGCTTGGGCTCACAAATTCTGGTACATAAGCAGTCAAATACTATATGTAGCAGCTGATATTTAGAACCATATTTATCCTATAAAAGTACAATAAAATTAGCTATTAATGAAATGGGATGGAATTGTTTCTATTGACATACGAAAATGTGAATAATGATGAAAACCCAACAATCTTTGGAGCCAATGGTATATATTTTGAAATTTGAGGCGTGGTTCTTGTAAGTTTTTGGCTCAAGGAAAATAATTGTAGATCAATAAGTCTATGAATACAAAATGGGACGCAAAATGTATTTTTCAAAAGTAGACTCACTAACAAATCCAGTAAACTTTAATCTACTCATATATGTTTTTTTGTGTCTAATTCTGTGATTGATTTTTGTGTTCGCAGTTGATATATTGTTAATGCAGCCTTTCACCTAAAAGAATGTACACTTTAATTCATGAGAGAGATTATATATATATATATATTAATGAGAGTACTGGCTGATTCATCTGCTCAGTTTGAATGCTCATTCAATAGCAAGACATTGTTTGATCAACAGAGCTGGTGACCATTAATAGTATTATTTTTCTGCTCTGCACAACCCCATGCCATAACTAGTTGGGTCCCCAAACTTATCTTGAACCAGTAGTGCAGTGTTTGGAAGTCTCTTCAATCACTTCCTCATTCTATAAATAACTCAAAAACCATTCAATCAAATCACAGAAGGCTAGTATGGTTTCTCAACTTTTAAGCTGAAGTTTGGTTTCATCACCTGCTTCTCTCTCCTTGATATTGTTGGGTTCCTTCAAAGTGGGCAAAAGGGTCTCAATGTTGACACTTCCTTTTTGTAGAGGGGTATTTTTGGGATTTTGGTTTTTTTTACTATTGGCTGTGACAACCTGCTATGGTGACAATGAGACAGCAGAGGTGATTGGAATTGTAGAATGTGCAAATTGCACACAGAAGAATTTTAAGACCAGCCAGACCTTTTCAGGTACAACACTTTTCCGAGCACAAAAATGAATCATAGAACATTCACAAAGATATGAGTTACTCTTCTTGTGAATGTGATGTGATTCGTTTATGTGAAAGTATCTTTTTCATTTCAAGTACACAAATTTTTAGTAATGTTATACAAACAAAAAAAAAAAAAGAAAATTGGTTTAAATTTGTCATGTGAAATGAGATGGTCTCTTGTGGTCTTTTCATTTAAAATCAAAAGACCTATCATTCTCGCTCACAATTCTAAAAATATCATTAACACTTCATTCTAAAAATGGCATGTAGAATAATAATATGGTCCCTTTGGGTGATGGCTTAGATCTTTATTTCTTCCATTATGATTGAATGCTAACCAAAGTTCTAGGGGGAAAAAATATATATATATTCCACCTCATAAATAGGCTTGTTTGTGTTTTGTTTTTGTTTTCATTTTCTTCATTTTGATTTTCATGTATTCAAACATAAAGCAAAGAAAAGTTTTAAAACAACAATTCGTCTTTATTTTTGCCTGAAAACAAATTTTGAAAATTCAAAAATAACCTTTTTAGAATTTCCTAAAAAGTTGTTTTCAAGAAGTTTTTCCAAAATTTGTTTTCAAAAGAAGTTCGCCATTTTTTTTAATTTTATTTGAGGAAACTATAAACAAAAAATGAACGCAAAACAAATTTGATCAGCATTGTGCATTGCTCTGTGCAGGGCTTCATGTCACCATTGATTGCAAGTCCACAAATGGAAAGCTCAAAACAGCTGGGGTTAGTGAACTTGATGAAGAAGGAAAATTCACAGTATCTCTTCCTAATGGGATTGCAAAAAATGGAGAATTGAAAGAGGATTGCTTTGCACAGCTTCACAGCGCAACTGGTGCACTATGTGCTCTCCACAACGATCAAGAGGCCTCAAATATAATCTTCAAGTCCGTAGCCAATGGGAAACAAACCTTTGGCCTATCTGGGAAGCTACAATTTTCTCCGATGACCTGTGTTTCAGCCTTCTTGTGGCCTTTTTTCAAGCACCCGCCATTGCCCCATTTGCCTCATTGGCCAAAGTTGCCACATTGGCCAGGGATACCAATTAAATATCCTCCACCCCAACCAGAGGGCTCACCACCAGCTCCTGTTTACAACAAGCCACTTTCTCCACCACCAACATTCCCTCCGCAACCCCAACAAGAGGGCTCGCCACCAACTCCTGTTTACAATAAGCCACTTTCTCCACCACCAACATTCCCTCCGCAACCCCAACCAGAGGGCTCGCCACCAACTCCTGTTTACAACAAGCCACTTTCTCCACCACCAACATTCCCTCCACAACCCCAACCAGAGGGCTCGCCACCAAACAAACATCCTGAATATATTCAATAGACCCACTTTCTCCCCACCAAACAATTCCCCGTCCAGCAACCAAAGAGGGTCGCACCACAACATCCTGTTTACAAAGCCACTTTCCAGACAACATGTCTCTCCACAACCAACAGAGGGCTCGCACAGTCCATTTAAACGATAAATACTTTCTCCACCACAACATTCCCTTATGCAACCAACCAGAGGGCATAGCCAATCGCGTTTACAATAAGCACTTTCTCACCAAACCTCAAACAACCGATGGGTCGCCCTCTGACCACAACTTCCACAAGCTTCCTCACCCAAAGAGCTGCAGCAGTCTCGTTACATACGGCATTTCTTCCACCACACATTCCTCCGCAACCCCCAACGAGAGGGCTGCGCCAGCCAACTCTGTTTCATAGCACTTTTCCACACCAACAATTTCCTCCACAACCCCCAGAGGTCGCCCACAAGCTCCGTTTTACAATACCGCCTTTCCCACCACACATTCCTCTGCAACCCAACCAGAGGGTCGCCACCAAATATATATAAAGCACTTTCTCACCTACATTCCTCCACAACCCAACCAGAGGGTCGCCACAATTCCGTTCAATAGCCACTTTCTCCACACTGCTTTATACGTTTTACAAATCACACTTCCCATACTATCGCCACCACTACCTACTTTACGATCTCCACATCCACCATCCTCCATCCCCCGTCACCACCTACATGTAGAATCACACCTCCTC